AGGCTGAAGCAAGAGGATTGAGAACATTGCCGTGAAGAGCTCGGCCCACCTGAACTAAAAAACAAAACCGAACAAATAAAACCCCTGTTAATGATAAGTATTTATAACTGTAGGCACCATTTAATGTTTATTTTTCCTTCAAATGAGCTAAGCTGTTTGGGGGTGCAGCATATTTGATAATTGTCAAAACCTGTATTTGTGCCTGTCTTGAGTGGAAACTCAACTGAGACACCCCTTTTGTGGCTTGGCTGCTTTGAACACTTGAACTTCCACAACATCTTGAGGACATCACACTCGAGTTTCCGGCATCTCTGTTATTCCAGCACCTCCACTTCTGCCTCAGCCTTGACTGTGCTGGTCAACCTGCACCTCTTTTTACCAGGACAAGGCAAGCCTAGGGGGATCCTCCAAGCCTGGTCAGCTTGTGCTATTCTTTCTTAGACTATAAGGGAAAGAGTCTGCCTCCGTACCTCAAGAAAAAGTTGTGATGGGTACAATGTGAAGCTTGTACATGGTCACTATGTAAGGTTTTATTATTATTTTCTTAATTCCATTTTTTTTTGCCTCTGCCTCTGTCTCTCTATCTGTCTCTCTCTGTGTGTGTGTGTATTTGTCATATGGTGTGTATGCAGATGTCAAAGGACAACTTATGAAAACTGGTTTTCCTCTTCTGTCATGTGGGTCCCAGGGATTAAACTCAGGCCATCAGTTTTAGCAGGAGGTGTCTTTTATCACTGGGCTATCTCACCAGCTCCTATGTAAGACTCATGATTGATAGTTAAACAAGGCTGTAGTTGTTGGAACTGAAAGCTTTGGTGTTATTAATGGAAATTAGAATCCTGCCCTTTTACATTCCACCCACACCCATCTGGCTCTATAGCTAGGCTCCTTGCTACACTTTTTTTTGTTTTTGTTTTTTTGAGACAGGGTTTCTCTGTATTGCTTTGGAGGCTGTCCTGGAACTTGCTCTGTAGACCAAGAGATCCGCCTGCCTCTTCCTCCCGAGTGCTGGGATTAAAGGCGTGCGCCACCAACACCCGGCTTTAAAAAATATTTTTAAAGTGTAGCAAGGAAGCCGGGCGGTGGTGGCGCGCGCCTTTAATCCCAGCACTCGGGAGGAAGAGGCAGGCGGATCTCTTGGTCTACAGAGCAAGTTCCAGGACAGCCTCCAAAGCAATACAGAGAAACCCTGTCTCAAAAAAACAAAAAATATTTAAATCACATTTATGTATTCTGTGTTATTCAAATATGCAATGCAACAGTTCATATGTGAAGGTCAGAGAACAATTTTTTAGCAGTCAGTTCTCTCCTTCCTCCAACAGGGATTGAACTCAGGTGGCCAGATTTGGTCTACCGTGTTCAGGCTTGGTGGTAAGCACCCTTACCTGCTGAACCATTTCATTCTCCCTGCCTCTCCATACTCTTTGATTCAATGAGGAGGTCTGCTCCTATGAGTTGCTCCCGAGAGTTGCAGCATGAGGCCCACTGTGGTGACAGCAGCAGTGACAGCAGCACTAGCCATCAAGATGGGCACTGAGCTGACCCAGAGAACAATCAGGGTGAAGAAACTGTGGTGAGCAGCAGCAGATAAAACGGTGAGGGAGAAAAGGTGGCCGAGACCATAGAAGGTGAAAGGTTCTGAAGACCAAAGGTGAAAGACTGCAGGCCTTGGTCACTGAAAGAGCCCTAGAGACCTCCCAACCCCTGACAGTGGAAGACCCAGCACTCAGAGAGCTGCAAGGAGGTACAGCTGGGGACTGAGGGCTCCAGTGCTCAGGATTGAGAGTTATAACAGCAGCCACTGTTAGGGACCAAGTGTGTCATCTCCCTAGACACAGGGGCTGCACTGACACTAACTTCTCCTAATGTGAATGGCCATACAGAGATGGGGAGTATGCTAGCAGTGGGGAGCCAGACCCAGGTAAGCAAGGCCCACAGCAATAAACAGCTTCCTAAGGGCCTGGAGCTATAAGTCTCTGACTCTGAGGCGTGGAGCCATGGTAACTACTGATCCAACTTCAATCCCGGTACCTGTCATGCTCATGAGTTACAGAGACAAGCTTCTGAAGTTGTTGGATCAGTCCATAAACCTGGTACTCAAAATCCTACTCATGAGTTCCATCCAACTCCAGCAAAAGGACCCAAGATAGCTGACTGGTAACAAATCATGTCAAATATTTTGTCACAGCATTGAGAGAATGACTAGCAGTGAAGTAAGAGATTGAGAACATTGTGCATTGTTGTGAGGTATCTACCAGAGAAGACCACTCAGATATAGGCTCAGGACGATAGAAAGTTTGTATTAGCCAATTGACCACTGTACTGGGTTGGGTGTTCACAGAACAGAGCCTTTCTTGGGCTGAGATTTTAAACACAGAAATAACATCCTTGGTTGGCACACCACAGTTAGCAAGAATAGTTATCCAGAAGCAGAACTACAGAAGCCAAAACACAAGGTACATTTAGAGACTTCTCCAGAACTATGGGTGAGGTCTTTGTTCGTGTTGGGGTGATGCTGCCTACATGCTGGGTTCCAAGGCCTGGATGGTATTTCCATCATGGCGTCGGTTGTGCTAAGGCTTAGGGGTCTGTTATGTCCTTTGAACCAAGCAATCTCTATCTTGGGGAGATCGGTTGTGCCCACTTGCAAATTATCACCACCATCTATGGTATGTGGCTTTGCCCTATTTGAACATGGCCTCTGGAAGGGCTAGAGTATATAGGCTGGGGAGACTAGGGGATTGTGGGGGCTCATTCTGCTGGCTAGAGGTTTTCCAGATATGACCTTGGTGGGGAGAAGTACCCACACCCATGTACGTAGCCCTTCACCCATACTCTGTAAGGAAGTCCAATAAATTCATTGGTTCTCTAGTGTAAACTTTGGTAGAATTGTGCCGCAGTTTGTCACTGGGACTTTAGGTTGAGGTAAAAATTATTTACATTCCCTACAGGGAAGGGATTTTAGCAACAAAGAGATAGGAGGAGAGTCAGGCATGGTAGTGCAGACAGAGGCAAGTACTCTGTGTGAGTTGAGGCCAGCCAGATCTACACAGCAAGTTTTAGGCCAGCCAAGCTATACAGTAAGACACACACACACACACACACACACACACACACACACACAGACACACACACGAGACAGAGAGAGGGGGGTGGTGGTGGGGTGGGGGATGAATCAATGTGTAAATGAATAAATAAGTAATACTGATTTAAAAAAGAAAAATAGAAAAAAGGGTCTACAGGATAGATTAATTAGTGAAACTTTTTTTTTTTTTTTTTGGTTTTTACAAGACAGGGTTTCTCTGTATTGTTTTGGAGGCTATCGGTCCAGCCCGGCCTCGAACTCACAGAGATACGCCTGCCTCTGCCTCCCGAGTGCTGGGATTAAAGGCGTGCGCCACCACCGCCCGGCTAGTGAAACTCTTGCAATGGAAAATCCAAGACTTGAGTTAACAGTCCCAGAATCCATGTATAGCAGGAGAAAACTAAGTGCATAAAATTATTCTTTAGTCCCACATATCTGTCATGGCTCACATGCCCTTAATAATGTCAAAAGAAAAACAAACAGTGACAAACATCCCCCCCCAGAGTCCCATCAGCTGAGTGCCCCTAAGGCAATAGGGCCAACTCACAATCAACTGAAACCTCCCACCTATGAGCCCAAATACTCTATTTTTTTAAGTTGATTATCTCAACGTTTTGTCACGATATAAAAGTTGACTAATACACTCCAAGTTGAAAATACATGAATATACCTTAAAGTTTACCTGACAATTCAAATTTGATTGGGTGTTATCCCTACAAAGTTGGTGGAGACGTGTAAGAAAGTGATTGCAGTAGTATTGTTTATGATGGTAAAACCTGGAATATAAATAAATTCCAAGAGGGAACCGTGGATAAATTGTGTAGTAATTCAACAAGGTATTAATTCAATAAAATATAAGGCAGCAGAGAAAATGAAGTACTATCACTATAAGTAACATCATGAATACATTTTGAAATGTTAAGCTTAAAGTTAACTTGAAGAATATGAATTGTAGATTGCAATTCCATTTTCATAAAATTCAAAATCAACTACAAAATATATGTATACACACCGACTTCAGCCTCTGGCCTCCACATGGGCCTGCAGGTGTGTTCCTGAAAACACACACACACACACACACACACACACACACACACACACACACACAGAGAGAGAGAGAGAGAGAAACTAGAAATGCACACTCATAAATAACTTTTCTAAACATCAGAATGACTTCCAAACAGAAACGCAGTTTCAAATACAGAATGCTAAACCATAGCAAACTTCTGGGAGAAGCTAAGAAGTCGAATGTCCAGAGAGCCGATTCAGCCATACGCTAGTGTGTCAAATAGGAGCTCTTTACTAAGTACTGTGCTAGATTGTTGGAGACGACAAGGGTAAGAAACAGCAACTGTTTCCGAGAGGTTGCAGATTACTAGGAAAGCCACAAATTGGACACCCAATTAAACAAGTATACACTGTAGGGGATCTTGGCGATCAGGAAGAAACAGGTGAGTCCCTTTCCTAAGAAGTTCTCTTTAGATCCTCTTCTCACGTGGGCCACTTTAAAGACAGGCAGGCAGGTTAATGCTAAATTATAAAAGCCAGGTGGCGATGAAAACTTCAGATCTTTTGGGGGGGGCTCACTGTTCGTCGAAATCAAATCTTCCTGTTCTACCGTGCGGGCACATTACTTAATATTAAATGAATTCATTTATTGTGAGACAGGGTCTTTTTATGTAGTCCTGGATCTCCTGTAAACCACAGAAATCCTCCTGCCTCTGTCTCCCGAGTGCTGATATTAAAGGCGTGTGCTACCACGCCCGGTTTCTTCGTTAAAATTAAAAAGAGCTAATCTCTGCACAAACGTTTGGGCAAATGTCAACAAAGAGCGCCGCGTATTGACGCACGCGCGACTAGGGCTGCGGGAGCTAGGAATGGCCCGGATGGAGGCGGGGCTTGAGGTCCCGGATGATACGTCATGGAGGGGGCGCGTATGTGATGCTGCTGCGGTGGCGCGTTGGGACCCGGTTCCGGATGGTGATGGTTTGCCATCCGTGAGCGAGCATGGAGATCCCCGCGGACGCCGGGACCCGTCCCGTGGGCCCCGGAACGCTTGCGGGCGTGGGGACCCCGCCGGGCTTGCAGACCGACTGCGAGGCGCTGCTCAGCCGCTTCCAAGAGCTGGACAGCGTGCGCTTCGAGGACTTCGCGGAGCTCTGGCGCAGCATGAAGTTCGCGACCATCTTCTGGTGGGTGTGTCTTGCTGTCTGGCGGGGGCGCAGCCCGGGTCCCCGACCTCCGCCTGGGCGATCTCCCTGGCTCGCCCTGGCGCTCTGCTGGCTCGCCCCTTTGCAGCACTCATCTCCTCCATCCGCACTCAGCCTTTCGACCTCCTCCAGTCTTGTTCTCCCTGAATGAATCCACGGTTAGAAACAAAGCAACCACACTGAGACAGGGTCCTCCACAAGTGAATTCATTTAGCGTGCAACAACCAAAACTGGAAGCGCAGATTTGAGCCTCTGTTGAACGCCTAAAGGTGATGAAGCCCAGTTTCAGCTCAGTGGCTGCTTCTGTCCACAGCTTCATTTCCAGTGCTCACACCTTATGTCACTTTCTTGCCCCAGCGTTGCTGATGGTCCTTCACTAGCGCTTCCTGGTCTGGGAGTCTCCGCCCTCTTTTTTCTTGCTCACTTCTTCCGTCATATTTAAACCCAGATGACAGTCGTGTCGTCCCCCCCCCCCAGCCACCCCGTAAGCTCCATGTTCTTATCTCACCTGCCTCGTTATATTTCGTAGTTGGAGACCCAGTATTGCATAATGGTGAAGAATACAAATGATGGCTCCCAGGTATTAGCATTTGAATTCAGCTCCCCAACCCTCCCCAACCGAGATCTGGGACAAGCATTTTTTTGTCTGTGAAATAGACATACAAAACTAAATAGTAGTGTGAAGTTTTAAATGAGGGTTGAATGAGCCAATGTATTTGGTGTGTTCCACGTTTGAAATTAATGTTCAGCGTTATCACTAATTTTTGATTTCCCCCTTAGACTGATCTTTGTGGAACAGTGACTTGATAATTGTGGTATTTCGTCTTGTTTTTGTTTATGATTCATGACCTCATAGTGTAGCCCGGCTGGCCTGAAATTTGCTATCTAGACCATACTGGCCTTGAGATCTGCCTGCCTCTTCCTTTCAAGGGCTGTGTTACAAGCCTGGGTTTAAATATGGTAGAACTCTCGCTCTGTAGACTAAGCTGGCCTCGAACTCACAGAGATCTGACTGCCTCTTCCTCCCGAGTGCTGGGATTAAAGGTGTGCACTACCACCTCCTGGCTAGAAAACTGAAGCTTTAAGATTTAAGGAAGTTAGCCGGGCGTTGGTGGCGCACGCCTTTAATCCCAGCGCCCAGAAGGCAGAGGCAGGCGGATCTCTGTGAGTTCGAGGCCAGCCTGGTCTACAGCGCGAGTTCCAGGACAGCCTCCAAAACAATACAGAGAAACCCTGTCTCGAAAAACCAAAAAAAAAAAAAAAAAAAAAAGATTTAAGGAAGTTAATTTCACCAAGTGTGGTGACATAGGCTTGTAATTAGGGTGATCAGGAGGATTTCAAGTTTGAAGTCAGCCTGGGCTGTAAAGTGAGACCCCCATATTAAAAAATATCTAAACTAATGTTTTCCTGTTCCTTTTAAAATGTAATTAAATGTTACTTATTTACATATTATTGACTGGCCTGGACTGTACAGTGTTGGCTAGGCTGGCCTCTGATGGGATTGAAGATGCTCACCACTAGGCTGAAGAAATGGCTCAGCAGTTAAGAGCACAGGCCGCTCCTCCTAAAGGACCCAGGTTCAATTCCCAGCACTCACATGGCAACTGTCTATAACTCCAGTCCAGGGGCTCTGGCACCTCACACAGACACACATGCAGGCAAGACACCAAGGCACATAAAAATAAATAAATCTTATTAAAAATGAGTGACAACAGGCCAAATGAATGAGGGTACTCATGGACCCAAATTATTTAAGCCTTGGGTGATAGCACATACCTTTAATCCCAGAGGGATTAATTTGGGAGGCAGGGGTAGGTGGATCACTGTAAGTTAGCCGCCATCATGGACGAAAAACAAGTTCCAGGACAGCCAGGGGTACCATAGAGAAACCCTGTCTTGAAAACCAAAAACAAAAAAATAAAAGTACACACCACCTTGGCCAGCCTATTTTCCATTTTTTTTTGTCTTTTCTGTTTCTAAAATCCATAATTTTTCACTGTAGTAAAGGGAAAGGGGGTGACATCAAGGAAGTTTATCTAGGTTATTCTACTAGAGGGGTGGTGGGCTTCTTCTTCCTCCACCTTTTCTTCCTCTTCCCCCTCCTCTCCTCCTTCTCTTCCTCCTTCTTTTTTTTTCTGAGACAGCATCTCTCTGTGCAGCCCTGGAACTCAGTATGTAGACAAGGCTAGCTTCAAATTCAAAGAAATCCATCTGCCTCTGCCTCTTGAGTCCGACCGCTGGGATTAAAGGCATGTGCTGTTTCACCTGGCTAGATTTTCTTTAGGAATCATTTTGGTCTCGAGACTGTGGTAGGTATTTCATGTTCTTTTATTGTGCTTATTATATTTATTGTGGTGTCTCCTCTCCCATTTGTAGAGAGATGTAATAGGTTGCACTGGCTAAAGGTCTTAGGTCTTTGTTTTATTTTGCTGTTATTGAATGACAAATGCAATATATTTATAGTTATGTGAATGTCAGCAGCTTGCATGTGTTAAATGTGTTTTCAGGCATTTTTGATAAGGTTCTATTTAAAGACTGACTTTGTTTTATCAAAATAGGATCTGGACATGACAATCTGCCTCTTGTCTTCTGAGTGCTGGAGTTACAGTCTGGGCCACCGTGCCCAACTTCTTGTTTTGTTTGACACTGGGTCTCTTGTAGCCCAGACTGGCCTTGTCTCAGTATGTAGCCAAGGATGACCTTAAGCCTTTTGATCCTTCTGCCTCCATTTCCCAATTGCTGGCTTTTTATAAATGGAGAATATTTTTAATCTGCTAATTTAGAGTCTATCATAAAACATTCAAAGTTGCCCTCATTTTTTAAATAATTTATTTGTATTTTATGTACATTGGTGTTTTGCCCTTGCCCACATGTATGTCTTTGAGGATGTCACATCTCCTGAAACAGTTGTGTGGGTGCTGGGAATTGAACTCAGGTCCTCTGGAAGAGCAGTCAGTGCTCTTAACTGCTGAGGCATCTCTCCAGCCCCAACTTCATTGTTTTATTCAGTTTTAAGAGGAACATCATGCCGGGCGGTGGTGGCGCATGCCTTTAATCCCAGCACTTGGGAGGCAGAGGCAGGCGGATCTCTGTGAGTTCGAGGGCGGGCGGGACTGACAGCCTCCAAAATAATACAGAGAAACCCTGTCTCATAAAACCAAAAAAAAAAAAAAAAAAAAAAAAAAAAGAGGAACATCACACTGGCTTTTGTGTTTGGTGAATGGGAGGATGGGTTATGTTGGGTTATTTTTCTTAACTTACACTTAAGCCTTCTGTTTCGGGATATTTGTACACCATGTGAAGATGTGTTGCTGTGGTTGGTGTAATAAAAGGCTGAGTGGCCAATATCTAGGCAGCAGGAGGTGGGTGGGATTTCTGGGGAAAGAGAGAAACTTGGAGGAGGAATCTAGGTAAGGTATTTGCCAATAGACTTGGAGCAAGTTGGACCTGCTGTACTGAGGAGGGGTAGAAGCCACGTGGGAAAATGTAGATTAATAGAAGCAGGTTAATAACCAGAGTAGTTGGGAACATCCTTTAAAACATGTTCATAATTAATAAGATGTCTCCAAGTTGCTATTTGGGGGGGTGGTGATCCAAAGATAGTCTGACAAGAAAGCTTGCTGCCATGATGTACTTAAGTGCCCATGCTGGTGATGACCAACCAGCTATTCCCTGTCTGCAATAAACCAGGATCCATCCCAGGAAACTGAAAAGAACAGGGAATGTGCAAAACACAAGGCTCTGGACTCTACATATTTATCACTGTGGTAGAACACATTTGGCTATGGTGAAGTTGCATGTATTTGCCTCTTTCCATAAGATCCAGGGCATAGCATGGAAACTTTTAGAAGCCCACCCCCAACATTAAAAAAAAAAGTTAAAATTCTTCAATCACAAGAGAAATTCTTGAGCGGCTTCTCAATGATTCCATTAACAAAAGAAAGAAAGAAAGAAAGAGAGAGAGAAAGAAAGAAAACAAGCTTGCTGCATCCTTCCAGGGACAGAAAACTATGCAAATGCTGGAGTCTGTTGGGGAAGTGCATGTTACACTGTAACAACCACGATTGTTTTCATAGTAAATGTTTTAAATTCTGAATCTGAAGCCTCTTCTACAGTCCTCAGTTTGGCAGCAAGGCTGGTGTTTTGGTGGCAGTGTCACAGTTACTTGGCAGTGTGTGGTGACAAGCATGGTAGAAAATGAGTTCTGGGGCTGGAGAGATGCCTCAGGGGTTAAGAGCACTGCCTGTCCCTCCAGAGGTCATGAGTTCAATTCCCAGCAACCACATGGTGACTCACAACCATCTGTAATGTAGTCTGGTGCCCTCTTCTGGCCTGCACGGGTACATGCAGGCAGAATGATGTATATATAACAAATAAGTCTTTTTAAAAGAAAATGAGTTCTTTCTGTTTGACTATCAAGAGGATCAGGTGTGGCCTCTCCATTAGTCCCCAGCAGTTACAGAAGCGTGTGCCTCCAGTAACTTTTGTCCATGTTTATGTAACAGTCGGCATATCTCCTTTTTGTTTTACAGTGGCAAGATGAGGAACTTGAAAAAGAACATGTTTACAAAAGAGGCTTTAGCTCTGGCCTGGCGCTATTTCTTGCCTCCATACACCTTCCAAATCAGAGTTGGCGCTTTGTATCTACTGTACGGGTTGTATAACACGCAGCTGTGCCAGCCAAAACAAAAGGTTGGTGAATTAGTTTCCCCTAGTAGAAACTTGAACCAAGCACTGTATCTTAAAAATCATAAAGGACTTAGGTGGAAATACCAGTGTTTGAGTTTACATTCCTGAAAAAGGGATCCAGACCATTTCACACGGTGGCTTTTCTCCTCCTGGTTGTAGATCAGAGTCGCCCTGAAGGACTGGGATGAAGTTATTAAATTTCAGCAAGACTTGGTAAATGCACAGCATTTCGACGCAGCCTTCGTTTTCAGGAAGCTTCGGCTAGACAGAGCCTTCCACTTCACAGCAATGCCCAAGCTGGTATGGTGCCTTAAAACAAAACAAAACAAACAAAAAGACGTGGATTGTCAAAACAAGCAGTTACATTTCCTTGGCAGTGGCCTGCTTTGCTCTCCTGGAAATGGGAAGTCTATTAGTGGTGATCAAAACTGCAGCCCTTCTTAGAATAAGAAAAATATTTTCTGATTGTTTTCTTTTCCCTGCAGACAGAATTGAGCCTCTGCTTGAGTGCAGGGTGTTTGTGGATGGCACACATGATGCCAGTTGTTGTGAGTGGGAAGAGATCTGGCATCTGTATCTGCCTGGTTTTTTTGTTTGTTTGTTTGTTTGTTTTTTTGGGACTGGGGTTCTCTGTGAAACAGTCCTGGCTGTCCTGGTACTCAGTTTGTAGACCAGGCTGGCCTCGAACTACTGAGATCCATCTGCCTCTGCCTCTGCCTCTCAAGTGCTGCGGCTAAAGGTGTACGCCACCACCACCTAGCTTGTGTCTGCATTTTATCTCTCTCCAGAGCTGAGGGTTCAGTCCTGAGCTAGGAAGTTAATAAGCACTGAGCTGCCCCCTGGTCTTTCTACATTTGTGTAGGAATGTGCAAATGGGCCTTTCTACATTTGAGTGTCCAGAGGCCTTGACAAAGGTATTTAAAGCTCAGTTGGTAAACAATTGAAATTTGAAATAAAGCCCACCATTTCTTGAGTTTTTTAACAATTGAGACACTAGATCTGAGGAGCAAATCCTTCTGGTAAATCATGTGACTTTTCAAAGCTGGGCAGACTCTGTAGCGTGCAGTGTGGCATCTGATACTTACAGATACCTGATAGGCTCTGAAAATGGATAGCTAACAAGTGTACTTGTAAAGCTGCTCTACTCATGTGAATTTACTCCTAGCTTATATTTAAGCACTTTAAAAGTAGCCTTTAAAAGATGTTTAACATGTTTGAAAGGTTTTCATGGTTGCGTGCGTGCTTGCATGCGTGCTTGCGTGTGTGCGTGCGGAGTTGCAGCTGGTTCATGCTCCATTGTGCACATGCCACTTTGCATGTGTGAAGTTATCAGGACAGCTTTGTGGTGTTTGTTCTCCCCTTCAGCCTTGATGGGGGACTCTAAGGATCTACTCAGCTGAGCAGGCTTGCTTAGCAAACGACTTTGCTCGAGGCGCCATCTTTCCAGCCCAAGACATTTAAAAGACATTCTTTGTATTTAGCTTTCATGTAGAATGAAGAAAAAAATTCAACAAACTGAAGTGACCCAAAAATTTAAGGACCCAAATGATCGTGTAATGAAACTTATCACTTCTGATGTATTAGAGGTGAGTTTGTTCTTAGACTCTTGAAGCTGGGGAAATGGTTTTATTGACAATATATGCTGAGATTATACTCTTCATCAACTGGATATATTGACAGTTTCTGCAATGATGTTAGCATACATTCTGTTAACTCTAGTCACTTTGGAACGTAATTGTATTTTGAATTAGTTTGCCTTTAAGATTGTCCTTAAAGATGGAAATAAAGGACCAAGTATGGTGGTACATGCCTACCATTACGCCATTAGCCTGGGCTACATAGCAAGACCCTGTCTCTTAATATAGAACAAAATAGTACACACACACACACACACCCAGCCCCGGTATTCACACAAGAAATAAAGGGTTTCTGTTTTCACTTTTAGGAAATGCTGAATGTTCACGATCATTATCAAAATATGAAGCGTGCTATCTCAGCTGATAAGTCCATGCCAGACAAAGCCCTCAGCCTGGTAAAGGAGGATTTTTTTGACAACATCAAGAACATAGTTTTGGAGCATCAACAGTGGCACAAAGACAGGAAGGTAATTACTTGCGTGTTGCTGACCTACCCCTGCATGTGTACAGATGTTTAAACGTGAGCAGGGCAGAGAAGGCAGCCTGGCAGAGTGGCTGCCTTGCTGTCCGGGGAAGATTTGGAGGGCTCTACCCTTCTAGTTAGGGCTTTGTCACTTCAGCCTTACAAGTGGCCGTGGGGGAGAGTAAATCTTTTTGAACTGTTTTTAGACCAAGCCAGCATATAGGTTAATTTTGTTTGGTGCAATATTAATTCCAACATTGTTGTAAAAATTTGAATTCATTTCCAACATGCAAATATTAGTGGGCTTCATATAAAATTTTGGAAAACTGCCTTTTAAACCAGAGAGGCTGGCTGCAGGGCCGCACTGGCTCCATTTACTGCATAGTAGGGGACCCTGCACCCCAGTGGAGGCTCTTCTTGTTTGCACGCGCACGCACACACACACACACACACACACACACACACACACACACACACACACACACACAGTCTTGGAACTCACTATGTCAACCAGGCTGGCCTTGAACTGCACAGAGATCCTTTTGCCTCTGCCTCTCCAGTGCTGGGATTAAAAATGTGCACCATCATACCCAGCCACAGAAGTATATGGTATTGTCCATTAGTTAAGGGGAGTTAGGTAATTTAATAATGCTTTCTGGAACTATTTTGAAAATTTGTGCCCTTTAAAAATATTTTTACACTTTTGTGTATGTACACATACATGTGCATGCGTACATTGTGTGCTTGTGGAAATCAGAAGACAACGAGTGGGAGTTGGTTTTCTCCTTCTAGCATGAGGGTCCCAGGGATTGAACTCAGGTCATCAGTCTTGACAGCAAATGCCCTTACCCAGTAAGCCGTTTCTCTAGCGTGGAACTCATAATCTTAACGTTATCCAGTGTGCTGCTTAGTTGTCTGCTAGCTTGAGGAGGCTGGAGTCATTTGAAAAGAGGGGAGCTCAGTGGTGGAAATGCTTCCATTGGACTGTCCCGCAGGCAAGTCTGGGACATTTCCTTGGTTAGTGATTGGTGTGGGAGAGCCAGCCCTCTGTGGGTAGTGCCGCCGCCGCAGGTGATCCTGCGTGGTATAAAGTAGTCTGAGCCGTGGGGAACAGGCTGTCAGCAGAGCTCCTCCCTGGCGTCTGCCTCAGTTCTCATCTCCCGGTGCGTCCCGAGTCCCTTCTCCGACCTCCCTTCCTGATGGACTCTAAGCTGTAAGGTGAAATAAACCCTTCCTCCCCAAGTTGTTTTCGGCTGTGGTCTTTATCACAGCAATAGAACAGATGGTGACCCATGCTGCAGGAATATGAAACGACATTCTGCTTTTTCAGTAATTAAAGGAACTGTTCAACTGTAATCCACAGCTGGCGATGGTGGCGCATGCCCTTACTCTCAGGGCTCAGGAGACAGAGAGAGGCAGGCAGATCTCTGTGAGTTTGAGGCCAGCCTGGTTTCCAGAGAAATAGTTCCAGGACAGCCTCCAAAGCTACACAGAGAAACCCTGTCTCGAAAAACCAAACAAGAAGAAAAGAAAACAAAACAAAAAGCCCTAGTAATCCACTGATTATCTGAAATTAATGGAATTATAATGTGTGTACATTAACATACGTAAATAACATTTTTGTTCTTTCAGAATCCGTCCCTAAAACCAAAACTTAAAGATGGAGAAGAAGACAGTAAAGGCACTTCACAGGAACCAGAGGTCAGCAGCTCATCCCCTTTTATGTGTGACTAATTCTCTTAGTGTAAGGACCCTTGGCTCGGTGTTATGTAAACACGGGAAAATTCTGCTCTGTGTGTCCTGAGGTAGCCAGTCTGCCCTTCCCTGGAACCGCGCAGAGCATTCTGAGCTCAGGTCGGGAGTGAGGTGGTGGCTGTTCTGAGCAGGCGGGGGCAGGGTGAGGGAGGTGCTCTTCATTCTCGGGGGCAGGGTAAGGCCTGTGTGGTAGCTCCCTGCGTGTCAGCCTTCCGGCCTTGTGAGGCTTGGGTGCTTTTGCTGTTCCTTATGTTCCGTGTTTCATCTGTCTAGGGAGCCATCGTTAGGCACAGGCAGATGAGGGAATGCCAGTCAAGAGCTCTGAGCAGTCCCTAAGGCTGCTGTCCCTGCTTCCTTCACGAGTCTTGAAGGAAATGGTCCTCAGCTATGAGGACGGCATTATGCTGCTCGCTGGCTGTGCCAGCAGGCAGAGGATGTGGTTTTGTATTGATGTGTGTCAAAACATGTTAGTTTCTTCTAGTTTACCTTTGTCTCAGATCCTAATCCTGACTATAGCTCCTTGGATTTTTGTAATTTCTCTAATGTTTATGTTTGAACTTTGTTTTTCCGTGTTTATTTTTCCTTCCAGAGATGTGAAAGAGCAGTGTCTTTAGCAAAAATCAAAGCAAGAGCCTTTTCAGCTGTTGCCCAGGTAGGTTCCTTGTTTAATAAATGAATGTACAGTCTGCTCGCTCCTAAGTGGCAGATTAGTTTTCATCCATGAAATCCATATAGTTTAAGAATCAGTCACCTGGGCTGGAGAGATGGCTCAGAGGTTAAGAGCACTGGCTGCTCTCCCAGAGGTCCTGAGTTCAATTCCCAGCCACCACATGGTGGCTCACAACCATCCGTAATGGAATCTGGTGCCCTCTTCTGGCCTGCGCAGATACATGCAGGCAGAACACTGTATACATTTTTAAAAAGTCAGTCACCCAGCAGTCCAGTCTGTACCCGCAGCGCCTTGCTGTCACCTCTTGCCTGGTGCGCCTCTGTACCTCCCTCCTGTAGCTCTTCTCCTGTGTGGAAGCCATGCTCCCTGTTATCTTTCACCTTCTGGGCTGATCCAGGAGGAGTGGGAGTTTGCTTTGTCCCCAAAGTTCAGGAAGTCCTTGGGAATCTAACTTGGGTTTTTATTGATTGTTGGCATTCAGCTGGCTGAGACCTTTGTGCCTGAAGAATCTTTTTTTTAAATCCCGAGTGCTGGGTTTAAAGGCGTGCGCCATCACCACCCGGCCTGAAGAATCTTTTTAATTATTGTTTTTTTATTGTATCTTTTTTCTCTTTACCCATCTTGTATCTTGTTTTTGTTTTTTCTTGGCTGTTTTCGGTATGTTTCTGTTAGGGTGTTTCTTAAATGTTAACTTCTTGGCCATTGATTTTTGTATTTTTTTGTTTTTTAGTATTTGTGCTGAAATTTTTTCTTTATTGAGACTATTCTTATTTTTGAATGTTTCCTTAAACATATTTTTGCCTTTTTTTCACAGGATAGAATATCTGCCATTAAGGATATTAATTTAATTACAGTTTTTGGTGTTTCCTCCTATTTCTTTTGAATCCTTTTCTCTGTTTATTTTGGTCTCTGCTTTTCATTCTCTTGGCTTTGTTCCAGAAGAGCGGAGCTCCTCAGATGTCTCTTTATATTGAGTGACTAACAGTTGATGCAGGCTTTTAACTCCTTCATCTCTGTTTCTTGGATCTAGTCATTTTACTAAAGAGGAGGCTTCATTCCCTCTCCTGAGAGAGGAGGGTGGGAAGCAAGCCTAGCTGCCAGTGTTTCCAGGGCTTCCAGAAGGTCAGTCAGGAGGCGTGGTGTCCGTGCTCAGGCAGCCTGCTCCACTGTGATGCCTCCCTCTTCCCTCCCCTCCCCTCTCCCCTCCCCCCTGCCTTCCGTCCTTTCTTCATTTATTATTAAAACCCTAAGTCTCTCTGGTTTGTTCTTCCTAGAGAACAGACTCCTGTTGTCCTAGAGAGATGGTCCAGTGCCCAGCTTTGAGGCTGGGGAGCAGCACATGGTTCCCCGTGTAGATTTTCACTGTTTCCCTGTGGTTTTTATGCAGTTCTAGTGGGGTGAGCTGTTTTGTAGTAGTTCTTGTGTGGCAATTAGATTTCTTTCTCTCTTCCTTTCTTCCTTCCTTCCTTTCCTTTTTTTTTTTATACAGGGTTTCTCTGTGTAGCTGGCCTTGAACTCAGAGGTCCACCTGCCTCTGCCTCCTGAGTGCTGGGATTAAAGTCATGCACAACCACCAGCTGACTTCATTCTTAATTCTTTGTGTTTTTCGTGTGTGTGTGTGTGTGTGTGTGTGTGTGTGTGTGTGTGTGTGTGTGTGAGTGTGTGTGTGTGTGTGAGTGTGTGTGTGTGTGTGTGTGTGTGACTATTTTATGGGAAAGCAAGCATCATTTTCTAACTGTAGGAATAGAAAGTAATAATCAGTATTTGGGATGACACAGGTTAGGTGTTACGACATTGCTGTACACAGTAAGATGAGTATAAGAAAAACACACCAAGAAAGATAAATGGATTATAGTCTGTTATCTTTAACCAGAATTCTCTTTATGTATGGAGAGAATTTGTTGTCAAATGATGTCTAATGTATATCTTAAGTATCAGATAATTTTGAAAATCTAATTACATCATACCCCACAGGTTGTTTCAAGGCTATCATTGCACAGCTGTAGTTTTTCCCCTTGAGGTACAGCTGGCATTTTACATAATTGCTCTTGAATACTCACTGATAAGGTGTATCTCTGTGACTTCAAGGCCAGCCTGGCTCATATAGTTTATATAGCCAGGGCTATGTAGAACAACTCTGCCTCAAAAAAAAAAACAAAAAACAAACAAACAAAAAACCAGCAACAAAGCCCTTGGCTTGCTGTGGTCTTAGATACCATTAGGACTGGAACTTCCCTGTTCACTTTTCTTGTCTTTCTCTTCAGTGCTGTTCATGGTCCTGACTTTGCGTTGAAAGCTGGTGTTCCCTTCCTGGTAGTTAGAGGTCGAAAACACAGTGAACAAGTCACGGTGTTGTGGGCATTCAAAACCCGTCTTGACCAGTCTGAGTCAATAGTCAAGCATTGGGAGGTACATTACTATTAGTCAGACCTCATTCTTGTGAGGTTCGTTGGCTAACCATTCTAGGTGACAGCAGCTGCATTTTAACAGTGAGAACTGATGGTGAGGCAGCTGTAGGAGTTGGTTACAAAGTAAAAGTCTGTCTGCACAGAAACTATGTATACCACAAGCCTGGTGGTGGTAAAGGGCACGATGGCGTGTGCCTCTGCTTCCCTCTCCTTTGTGGTCTGTCCCTGGATTCATTTTCTCATTCCTGGTGAGTAACTGGATTTCTTTTAATAAGGTGTCCAAGTCCAGGAGGCATCGCCAAGCCAAACTTGACTCTTCTGACTCTGATTCTGGGTCAGGACAAGGGCAAGGCAAAGCAGCTAAGAAAAAAAGAACCAGAGAGACGGCAGCAGAACCAACAGAAAGGAAGAGGGCTTCCAGAAGCAGAGGTACTTTGCTTTAAAAGTCTTACTAAGGCCTGGCAAGGGTGAGGAGGTCCTTATTTCTAGGATGGGTTAGAGCTGGGTGTGGTGGGGAGACATCTGTAATACCAGCATTCAGGAGGCTGAGGCAGGAGGAGTGTCTGTTTAAGGCCAGCTTGAGCTACATATACATAGTAAGATCCTGTCTCAGAATAAAAAGAGATTTGTTTGGGAGCATCATGGAATTTAATATTAAAAATAACCCATTTTCATAGCTTCTTGGGCTCTTGTTGCTGAAGAGAGACCCTACAGATTTTATCAAATTTACTCTTCAGTGTAACTAAATTAGTAATGATGTGTGTGAATTAAGTTACATCTAAAAAAAGGCCAATAAGCAATGTAGTCTATAAACTATCTCCTTCAGTTAAATTCATTAGGCTGTCTTTGTTTTTTCCTTTGTAATAGAATATCTACAAAAGACCTTATCATTTGATGTTTAAATGGCCATGTATTTTAATGATTGAATGTTTCAAAACTTGAATCAATGCTATATAGCCAGCACAGCTAAGGTTGGAATGTATTAGTGATAGAGAGCACAATAGAAACATTCACAAATACTTAATAATTTTATCAGACACACTCCTAGATACCTCAGGGGCTTGGGAAAGTAATTTACAGCCTGTGAACATGTTTCGTTTTTCCTGTATTGAGGCAGTGGAGGGGGAGTCGAAGTTAAATAGCTTCAGTGTATGTCAGATATGATTCTGTGCTGTGAGGGTTGCCAGAGCGTAGAGAGGAGTCAGAGGAAGAAACCGCCACGGTTGTTAAGCGTAGCCAAGAAGTGCTTTCAGGAGCTGGCAGGCACAGTGAAGACAGCTCTGGGGACTAACTCCAATTGTATAAAAATCCTAAGGTACAAAAACAGGCCCCCAAACCAAAAGCTCTTCCTGAATCCAGTTGTTCTAGAATGTAATCATGACCTAGTTAATTGGAATCTATTAATATAATTTATCTTATATTAGCCCGAAAGGGGAAAATACATATAAATTGTAATAATTCTCAGCGAAGATACTGGATACTATCTAGTAGCCATCCTTGGGTTTAAAAACTCTCTAGATTAGGGGATAAAGGTTCAGATAGCCAGTATTGTAGACTTCATAGGCTAAACAACTTCTTTCACAGCTTAGTCATGCAGCTACTGATACAATATGAAAGTAGCTACAGACAATCTGAGAACTAATGATATATCCCAGTAAAAGTACACTTGTAAGTAGGTGCTAGGTCAGGTTCACCACAGACAGCCATATCAACCCTGTCCTGGAGAAAAGAAATAGGTATTCCTTTAATTTTTTAAAGACAGACAGGCACACAGACAGAGAGCCTAACATAAGCAATGATACACTAGAAGAATGCTCTATCTGACGTTGCTAATTGGTGTGATTGGGAACATGAACTTGTACATTATCAGAGAAGCTACACAGTTCTCCTGATCTGTGGGTAGCCAATGTTATATGTAAAAGGTATTCTAGAATTAGCTGGACAAAAAAATTAAGAGCAAAAGTTTTAGTAAAGTTGGAGAACCTGCTGCAGAAGTTAGAGCTGGCAGTGTTCATAAAGAGAATCTGGGAATCTTAGTCTAGTAAGTTAAATAGCGACAGATTACAAACTTTTCATAATACACAAGATAGGAAATCTGAACAACCTTTTATCTGCTAAAGGAATGAAACTTGAAGATGCTCTACTGGACGTCTTTGCAGGATTGTTTTGTTCGGTCCCGGGAATTGATGGGCCTGTGTGCATACCGCCACTGCTCACTGCTCCCGTGTCTAGTCCTCGGCTCTATGAGACAGGCTCTCGCCGCGTAGCTCAGGGAGGCCATGAAGTCTCAGCCATCCTTCCTCAGTGCCCGCTGTGCTAGCATTAGCCCTGTGCCATGGCACCCAGCATGTAGATGTTTAAGAAAAGAGTAATGTTCCTATACAAATGCTTTCAGAAAATAGAGGAGGGAACACTTTTTAGCTGCTTGTTATTGTAAGAAATGAAAGCTATAAGACCAGTACCTTTCCTGAGAAAAATTCCTTGCTAGATAAAACATATCAAATCCAGCAACCTATTGGAAGAACACATCAGGAGCAATTAGATTCTATCCCAGTAATGTAACAAATAATCCGTCATAACTCACATTAGCTGATTAAAAGGGAAAACCTCTCATAGATAAGAGTATCGATAAATCTATTATCTGCTCATGATAGAAACAATGAATTACTATTAGATGGAAAAGAACCTAATGGATTGTAGCAGACACAGACTTTAACATCCTCCTTCATGAGGGTCCTGGGAATTGGACTCTGGAAGAGCAGCCAGTAATTGCAGCTCCTGATCTTTTTTCCAGTTGCATGGGTAGTCACCATTGAGGAGAGAGTTACACATTCTAGATTACGAGATCTTTATCATTAATCAGGATTGTATTTTGCATATATTTTTCCTGGCTATAGCATCTCTCTCTCTCTCTCTCTCTCTCTCTCTCTCTCTCTCTCTCTCTCTCTCTCTCTCTCTCTCTCTCTCTCTCTCTCTCTCTCTGTCTCTGTCTCTCTCTCTCTCTCTCTCTCTCTCTCTCTCTCTCTCTCTCTCTCTCTGTCTCTCTCTCTCTGTCTCTGTCTCTGTCTCTCTGTCTCTCTGATATACCTTTAATCCCCATGCTAGGGAGTCAGAGGCAGACAGATCTCTATATCATTTTGTTTGTCATGTTTTGTTTTGTGAAGACAAGGACTCACCTTGGCTCTTTGTGTAGACACAGATGGCCATAAACTCCTGAACCTCCTGCCTCTGCCTCCCTGGTGCTGGCACTAAACACACACTACCACACTGGTGTAAGAGCCTTAATTTTGTTGTTGTTGGTTTTTTTTTTTTTTTTAGTTTTTCGAGACAGGGTTTCTCTGTATTGTTTTGGAGGCTGTCAGTCCATCCCAGCCTCGAACTCAGAGATCCGTCTGCCTCTGCCTCCCAAGTGCTGGGATTAAAGGCGTGCACCACCACCGCCCGGCTAAGAGCCTTAATTTTGAAGAGGTGCAATTGATCATTTTTTTTCTTTTATGATTCATGCTTTTTGTGTTACACGTGAAAAAGTCTTATCTGAGAACAGTGAAAAGTGGTTTTTTGGAACGTTAAGCATCACTTTCATGACTGTGACATATCCGAATCACTTTGTTATTTATGCAGTAAAACTCTATCAGCGTCGTTTAAGACAACCCTTTCTTTACCAAATGGCCTTCAGACTTTTGTCAGAAATAAAACAGAGACCATCTCGATGGCGCAGCAGGAAAAGGTGCTTGCTGCTAAGCCTCACCGCCTGATGCCAGTCTTTCGGACCCTCATGGCAGTAGGAGAGAACCAGTTTTCAAAAGCCGTCCTGTGACCTCCACATGTGCACTGACACACGAGGGCCCCGGTGTCACATGCATAGTCACAGTCACAAAAAGATTTGACTGTTACTGTGTATGCATGATGCATGCGTTAGAGCATGACTTTGTATTTATTTTAAAAACCGATCAGGGCTGGAGAGGTGGTTCAGTGGTTAGGCTCACTGGCTGGTCTTCTATGGGACCCAGGTTCAGTTCCTAGCATCCACATGGTAGCACACAACTGGCTGTATCTCCAGATCCAGGGGCTCTGATGCCCTCTTCTGGTCTTTGTGGGCATGAGACACACAGACAGACATGCAGGCAAAAATACCTTTGCACATAAAATAAAAATAAAGAAATCTTTAAAAACCTAGAGGAAGTCCATAGGCTTAGAAAGGCAGAGCAGATGGCTTGAAAAGGACAGTGTCTGGGGTGTATAGAGTGAGGCCCATCCTGGAAAAGTATGTTCAGTGTTATATCACAGCCTGCCCTCAAAAATGAGTCAGCATCCTAGGTCTAACATGGTAGGTAGCGGTGAGTGGCATGACTTGAGTTTCCTTGAAAACCAGGAGTAACATGGTTTGGTAGGTTTGAGTTAGCAGACTGCAGTGGGCTGCTGTGGTATCTCAGGGTTAGGAGTGGTACCTAATGGCCTTGGTTGTAGGAACTAGAGGCATCTTGACAGTCACATAGCTGGATACAGAGGCTGATGTTGGGGATGAGATAGGCATGCTAAGTTTCAGCATGTAGACGATGCTGGTGGGCAAGTATGGGTGGAGTGATGAGGATTTCATATGGGGGAAGATTTTCTTAGTCTGCCTGGCCAGATCCAATTCCTATAATGCCTGTCTGTCCTTGAACTTAATACACACACACACACACACACACACATATGTATGTATTCAAGGAGGCTTTGAACTTCTGGTCCTTCTGTCTCCACTTCCTTGGTTCAGGGACTATAGATGTGGGCCACCATGCCTGGTTTATGGTGCTGGGTATTGAACACATTTATAGATGTGTCCCATGCTAGGTTAACTCTCTGCTGACTGAGTTATATCCCAGCTCAACTCCAGTGTTTTGTTTTTTTGTTTTTTTTTGTTTTTTCGAGACAGGGTTTCTCTGTGGCTTTGGAGGCTGTCCTGGAACTCGCTCTGTAGACCAGGCTGGCCTCGAACTTCCCAAGTGCTGGGATTAAGGGCGTGAGCTACTACCCTGTTTTGTGTGATAAAGATCAAATGAGGTATAGCTCACTAATTTTGTCTTTTCTCATTCTCCATTTTACCTAATGGAAGAATTATATTCTATATTCAAAGTACAGGGTTTTCTTTCTTCTTTTTTGTTTGTTTTTTGTAGCTGCACGGTTTCAGCATGTAGCTCAAGTTGCACTGGAACTTGCTATGTGGCCCAGTCAGGCCTCAGACTTGTAACCCTCCTGCTTCAGCTTCTTGAGTGCTGGGATGTTGAGTGAAGCCTTTTCCTTGCCAGCCGCTTTGGGTTTTCACCCTCCAGTCGCCTGGGCTCTGCTGCGTTGTAGTCCCCAAATAACACACAAGACGCTGTATTAATTATGAAGCTGTTGGCCTTGCTTGTTTCTTACTGGCTAGCTCTGACTTAAGTAATTACCCCATAATTGTTAATCTAAGTATTTATCTTACCGAAGAAAAGGGTCTGGACTTCTTACCCCTATGGCAGCTACATGATGACTCCCTGTGTTTCTCCCAGAATCCTGCTCGACTCCTAGTCCCACCTATCTTTTTTCCCTATTGGCCAACAGTACTTTATTCAACAACCAATAAGAGACAGATTTACAGAATGGCATCTCCCATCACTGGGATTAAAAGTTTTCCCCTCCCTCCTTCCTTTCCCTCCCTCCCTCCCTCCCTCCCTCCCTCCTCCCTCCCTCCCTCCCTCCCTCCCTCCCTCCCTCCCTCCCTCCCTCCCTCTATCCGAGGCTGGATCTCACTGTAGCCCAAGCTGGCCTCAAAGTAAACATCCTCCCAAGTGCTGAGGTTATAGGTGTGTGCCACTGTGCCCAGTGACACAAATATTTTAAGAAAAGCTTTGAGGGAGATGAAGAGAGGGACCAATCAAGGCTGAGGATGAAAAAGAAGTCATAAGGAAACCTGGTAAGCTAAAGAGAAAATAAACATTTAAAGGGTTTGTATTCTGGAGTGCATAATTACGTTATTATAATTTCAGTGTTGAAACATATAAGGCTAATATTCTTGTTTTTATATGCAGTTATGTCTCACTGTCTCTAAATATTCCTAGGTAACGCTCAGAATGAACAGAAGGAAGAGAAGTCTTTACACCTGAGTATGCCCATAATTGCAGAAGAGGAGGAGGAGACTTACGACTTCATCGAAGCAGGTACTAGTGCATCTCATTATTAGTGGAGGAACGTGGGCTTGCAGAGGCAGGGTTAGAGCCCTCCCCATGACGGGCGACTCAGTTCTTCTGACCCCTTTCCCTTGGCTCCTTGGAGCATGTCAGGGTTACACTAGTAACCATGCCTACCTCTCTGCAGCCAGCGATGATGCAGTACGTGGGTGCGGACTGCTGTTGGGGGCTCTGTTGGTGTCACTGTCGCAGGAGCTGCTCACAGACCTGTCCTGCTGTGCTCTTGGTCCTGGCTGCTTCTCTTCTAGGAATGTTTTTTTTTTTCTTTTTCTTCTTAACTCCCCACCCCACCTTCCCTGGTATTCCCTCTTTATTTTTTGTTGATGGGGATTATATCTTTTTATCATGTCTTACTACTGTTCTTTCTGTGTCTTGTGTTTAATGATGGTTATTTGTATGCTGGTTTATGTGTTAGCAGTGAGAACCAGAAAGACACAGAGCACATATGTGTTGTGTTATGTTTCCAGGGCTCATTGTAATGGAATGGAAGTCTTCACTTTGTCTTTACGGTAGCCTGGATAACTCTCAGTTTCCTTGCCCTGGGTCCATGCAAACTATAGGGAAGGCATACCCCTGGGGAAAGTTCAAGCACCTTGATAATTAGAAGTAGGATTTAGAGTGATGGAGATCTCCTATCTTATTGGCATCTCAGTAAGATTGTAATCCTGCTGTTTCATTGGAGACAGGAGTTTCTAAACTGCAGTTTCACTGGAAGAAAGTTACATGTATGCCCCAGCTAAGATTTTCTTTAAATTAGCAATAAGGTAATGGGCTCCCCTGTGTCATGAAGTATATGTTAAAAATTAATTATATATCTATAAACTGTGTGTAACATATACATATACATACATTACACATTTGTGTGTGTTGCTCAGCTTCCTCACTGCTTTCCTCTGGATCTTGGCTGTGAGGACATTGTTGGGTTAGACTAGCTAAACGCTTATACAGGTGAAGTGCATATTATTTGTTAAGCCTGTCATTTAAATGTCAATTTTTTAAAAGAATTGATGGAATTCTTAACCTTATATCCATAGAGTTCACTGCAACCAAGAGGAAAAGAAAGCGATGACCAGGAGCCTGGTGGAGTTCTATTTAAATTCTGAGTTTTCTTACAGAAGAACAGGTTTGTTTTGTTCTGAGCAGGAGGCTGGCCAGTGAGGACCAACATCTGAGAATGAGGTCATTTCTGTGAAATGGGAGAGTTGGGATAGAATTTTACTCTGAAGTTTAATTTAACATTTCTGTTAAAAGTCTATGTGAATGGAGATAAAAGTTTGCATTTAGAATGTAAACAAAGATTTGTGCTGTCACCTTAATGCATCACTGTAATGTCTACTGTCCTAGTTTTAAAACATTTTCTTAAAATACTTTTTGTATAAATGACTCATACCTGTCATCTAGCAATGGATTGGACTGTGGTTTTGGTTTAATATTTTATGTGTTATGGTTAAGTGCAATAAAATTTTTTCCCACTTGCTTTACAAAATTTGTGTGACTAGTGACTTGACTAATAAGTTAGGATGTTAACACTTCTTTTGCACTTAATGTTGTATTCCTGTTTGTCCATTTACTAGACAGTGTCTTGCTGTGTATGCTAGGTTGGCCTTGAACCGTCCGTACTCCTGCCTTAGCCTTCCCACCGCTGGGGTTGTAGACATGCACCACTGTACCTCACTCGTTAACTTCTTTAGTGTTTGCTTTAAAGTTCCCGTGGTCTACTGTCTATGAATACATATGTACACGTGTGTGTCCTTGTCTACACATAAGATTAGCTAATAAATTGTTTAATTCTTATATACCACTTTCTAGTAAGCATTGAGAAGTAGGCATAGAAATTTTAGAATGTGTCTTTGACACAGAATGTTTGTAAATCACAGAAAAAGATTTCTACAGCATGGTGCATGTACTGCTCTTTTAATTTCTCCTTCCAGGAGTTTAAATGGAAGATGCTTGAGCTGTGCTTGAACGCTAGAAGGGATCACCTCCATGACATGGGCTAGTTCAGCCTGACGTATAGTTCATTATTAAGGTTCCAGGTCTGGGTTGAGGAGAACGTTTCCAAATTTGATGATTGAAAATATATATCTTGAATATATAATATTTTAAAATCAAAATATCAATGTTGCCTTGAGTAGAACTTGGGTTTGCTATCCTGTTTGCTACTAGGACTAACTTCAGCTCTGTCTGATAATGGGTGGGACACTCCACATGTTTATAGGCATTGTACAGCTGTAACACTGTACGGCTGAGTCGTAAACTATTTCTCACAAAGCACTCATAGAATACATGATATTATTTCACAGACTAAAGCAATGGTGAGTAATATAATACTTGAGGCAATGTTTCCTGTCATAATGACTGAAAAGTTGATCAGACTAAGCTTGTGGTTAATGAGGTATAATATAATACCCTCTTCTCAGTGTAGTGAAAAGACTGATATTTCTGTCTATTTGTCTGTCTACTTACAATCTGCCTTTTTGTTTTTTGTTTGTTTGTTTCATTTTGTGTTTTGAGACAGGATTTCTCTGCACAGCCCTGGCTATCCTGGAACTCGCTCTGTAGACCAGGCTGACCTTGAACTCACAGAGGTCCACCTGCCTCTGCCTTCTGAGCGCTGGGATTAAAGGCGTGTGCCACTATCACCTGGCTCAATCTGCCTATCTCTTGAGAAAATATTTTACCCGGGCGTTGGTGGCGCACGCCTTTAATCCCAGCACCCAGAAGGCAGAAGCAGGCGCATCTCTGTGAGTTCGAGGCCAGCCTGGTCTACAGCACGAGTTCCAGGACAGCCTCCAGAACAATACAGAGAAACCCTGTCTCGAAAAACCAGAGAGAGAGAGAGAGAGAGAGAGAGAGAGCACGAGTTCCAGGACAGCCTCCAGAACAATACAGAGAAACCCTGTCTCGAAAAACCAGAGAGAGAGAGAGAGAGAGAGAGAAGAGAGAGAGAGAGAGAGAGAGAGAGAGAGAGAGAGAGAGAGAGAGAGAGAGAGAGAGAGAGAGAGAGAGAGAGAGAGAGAGAGAGAGAGAGAGAGAGAGAGAGAGAGAGAGAGAGAGAGAGAGAGAGAGAGAGAGAGAGAGAGAGAGAGAGAGAGAGAGAGAGAGAGAGAGAGAGAGAGAGAGAGAGAGAGAGAGAGAGAGAGAGAGAGAGAGAGAGAGAGAGAATATTTTAAAAATGAACTTTATGCACTAAAAATGACTTTTATTTTTCCTAGGTTAGCTTAGGAAAATAACCATAGTTACTAATGCTTCCCTTACCCTTGATGCTTGAATTAAATTACAGTTTGAAGAAGGCTTACTTTTTAAATGGCTTGGAAAGAACTCTGTAGGTGTTAAACTATTCACATTTTCATTTATCTTTTAAACGACTATGTAGTAATCTTCATTGCACATTTTCCTTATTCTCTGTGTTAATGTAAATGTCAAATCCCAGACTTGAGGTTGTATAATCTCTTTTATGTGATATTTTTAAGTGCCTGAATTATTCATTCTACTGTGATGTGTATTACAGGTCTGAATTTTTATTTTAAGAGACATTTGAGCAGGCTCCTTTCAGTTGGAAGAAACAAAAGCATCCACCCACTCCCTTAAATGCTAGAAGCTTACTGAAAGAATACGGCTAAGTAAGTAAGGGACCCCACCAAAGACACAGCTTCCTCAAGGACTTGGAAAATTACTATAGGCTTCCTTTACATCAGTTGATGCTACTAACTAGGATAGAGATCCCTGGTACACTGGGTGTGACCTGTGTATCCAACAGGTGACAGAGAAGGACCCATCTGTGACAGCTTTCCTAGAAAAGGTGAACGGGCAGGCATCTAGAACCTCAGGGTTTCCCAGTGCGACCATGATGTCATCAGGGAGGGACACAGACATTCCCTTCACAGACAGCCACATTGCGCAGTGGTAAAGAACATCCGCCCTGGGCTTCTGGCTTTGCTGTGGCATTACAATGTACACCGGCATTTAATACTTACTGTCTATGGTAATTCGGGGCTGCATATGCTGTAACTCAGTGTTAGGCTGGCAAGAGCTCCTCCACTGAGCTATACCCAGTCCTGTGTTCTACTAGTTCAGTCTTACATGATGGACTTGGAATTTCCTGTGTAGCCCAGACGGGTCTTGAACCTTCTATCCTCCTGTCTCAGCTTCCTGATTAGATGGGTGTATAGACTGCCACCCAGCCCAAACAGTTCTGTCTCCCCACATACGAACCTTGTCCATTGCACTTTATTTCTTAGGGAAAGCCATGCTTCTATCTGCAATGGATTTTTTTCAATCTGAAGAAAATCCTGACTGCTTGAAACTCAGCACGGCTGCAGACCAGTTCTATCATATTTTCTTTGGAAAATATCTTTCATCCTCATTTCTGAATGGTAATTTTGTAGGATTTAGAATCCTAGCTAATTTTTTTTCTCCTTTCCTGTTAGCACCTGTAAAAATTTTTTCCATCCCATCATCTGATGGGAAACCATTCCTCTGGTTCCCTTGTAATCCTTTTATTTGGCTGTATTGTTTTTATATTTTGGTGCTGGGAACCGAACCTGCAGCCTTGCATGTGCTGAGCACAAGCTTTTCCAAGAGTTCCTCCAGGTCCTCTCTGACTGCCTGCAGTCTGGTCTTTTGTTGTTACTGTCACTTAGCAATGGATGTGCGTGTGGTGTGGTTGGTTTTTCTAATCCACGATGCCTTCGGCACTGGCCTCACTAGCTTCTCTTCCTGGGGCTTCAGTTATATCTGTTGATCACTTAGGATAGTCTCATGGGTCGTATTTCGCCTTCTCCAATAACACTTTTCCTGTGCTGCAGGGTGCCTATTGATCTGTCTTCAAGTTCATGATCTTTCCTTCTCTTGTATTTGATCTGCTTTTGATTTTCTCCAATAGCTTTTAATTTAGAGGCACAAATTTTTAGTTCTGTAATTTCTCCTTGATTCCTTTCCATAGGTTTCTGTCTTCATTGCAATGACTCGTTTGCCACCCTCTCTAACCATATATAAATACATACATATATACATACATATTTGGTGGGGTGGAGGCGGAGGTTGAGACAGGGTCCCTCTATGTACCTCTGACTGTCCTGGAACTTGCTATGTAGACCAGGCTAACCTGAAACTCACAGAGATCCACCTGCAGCTGTCTCCAGTGCTGGGATTAAAGGCTCATGCTACCATACCTATGGGCACTTCTAAAAAGTTTGTTTCTGAAGTACAGCACTGGATTGTACTCGTCACGTGAATACACCCTTCCAGGATTTGAACTTTGGACTCAGGAGCCCCACGAGTGGGGAGCTGCTGAAAACCCTGTCTAGTAGTTTGTGACTCCACCCACTTTCCAGCCCTAGAATCACCAAGTTGCTTTGTGTGTTGCCAGAGAGATGAGAATTTATGCTCAGGTTTGGGGCGCTGTCACTGATGGCTGTTTTTGGGGATTTCTCACTTGACTTACCATGCTAGTAGCCAGGAAAAGGAGACTAGCTATAAGGTGAAACAAACCCTTTGCTCCCAAGTTGCCTTTGGTCAGGGCCGTTATCACAGCAGCAGAAAGCAGCTAGGGCTATTGTAACCAGAGAACTTAGGGCCATGCTAACTACAGTCAACTTCTTTGAGAGAGGACAATGCCCACAAGACGTGTTGAACATGAACTCTTTGTGGTAAATGTATTATAAGTGACTGAGTTTTGCTAAAGCTTCAGAAATTGCACACACTTTGTTAAAGGTTTTGGATGGCTGATTTATCTTAGTTTCCTGCAGCTTAACTGATCTATTGCGGCCCTGGGTAAGTATACACAATTAGATAGTCAACTGAATGCATTCTCTTTGTAAACTTCAACTGCTCCCTTTCTATCAACAGTGCTTTGAGAAAGAAACTTCTGTATTGTAGTCGAAAATGAAATACCCTGTCTTTTTTTAAAGACCAAGTTTCTAGAAACCTTCTTGCTTGCAACTTGATATAAAGCAAGCAAACAACCAAAAGATTTAATTTGTCTCTGGAATACAACAAAACGTTGAGTTTGCCATGCTCCCGGTGAATAACCCTATTGTTCTTTCGACAGATTTTCTTAGATTTGCAAATATGATTTATTCTCATGACTGCAGTCTAAGGAGCTAGAACACATTTCTCTGTAATGTTTCTGGGTCTATGTAATTAGGATTTAATTGCTTTGGAGAGGAAAATGAAATTGTAGAATGACTCCTCAGGGCTGTATTGTCAAATTTTCATTTTCTTTTATTATTTGGTGGATTTATTCCCCCCTTCATATCAACCTTTAATACAATGAACAGAGGATTCCAGCCAACGTGTACAGTCTGGGTGGCCCCAGGAAATGAAACAAGGCAGATGTGGGCATCCAGGAAGAGCTTGTTAAGCCCAGAACTTGTGGCACCAGAAGGAGGGGCCAGGTCCAGGCAGGGTCATTCTTGTAGCCACTTAGTGTTGTTAGCTCAGTTTTTGCTTTTATTTCTTTTAGTTTTTGAGCGCTTTATTGTT